TTCCCTCAGGTTACTGGATTGGAATGGGTTCAGCCATAATACTTGGGAAACCAATTCCTTAATACAAAAGTGCATTTTAGAAGAGTATTGCCTGTCATTTATTTAACAATTTAAACTGCCGTGTCTTCATTTTTGTTTGTTAATCCTAGAATTTCCAGATAAACGCAGGCAAAGGAACACACATGCATTCTGTCTTAATATAGTGAGGGGACCTTCAGACAGTGGCAGACTATATATTTTGCATGCGGAGAGCTGAACTCGATCATTGGCATCTCCAGTTGGAAGGATCAGGTAGCAGGAGATGGCAAAGTCTGTGCTGACAGTTCTAAAAGCCTCTGCCAATGCAAGGAGACAACAATTAGGCTAGATAAATGAACACTCTGAACACTCTTATAAATGTATAGGGACTTTCTTGGACAAAAGATTTCAATGTTATAACATTTTTGAAATAAATTCTTGCACATAGGAGTACTTTTCAGCTATGATGATTGCAAGAATGGAAGGCACACTGCATGAACATTGATCAGGCTTTTTTTGCTTGGGTCTGTACAATATTGCTATTGCCATTATGTATACTACAGCAAGCCATACTGGTGAAAATACTTCCTTTCCCTTCCAAGCATACTTTATTATACAAATCTTAATGATAAATTTTGCCACAAATTACAAAAGAACTTTGAATCTTGCAGAATCTTTTCTGCAAACAAACCATTAAAATGCAAATGCCCGCTGAGTGTGATTAATTCACAAACTATTAGAAAGATGTAGGACCACTAGAATGTGTGAGACTACGTGTCTCTAAGTCATCAGCGTATTCAAATTAATTGGCGTTTGACTGTTTTGTATTAAAGGCGATTAGTCATGCAGGTCCAGCACATGACTACACGGATCTGATTTGTAGTGTTGTCACATATGTTTAGTACTGCACAAGTGGTAAGGAAAGCCACTTGGCGCATTTGTTTTCACTGTAGAAGTGAATGCTGGGTCATTATTAATAATACCCTATCTACATTATTTTAAAATGCGCATTTCACAAGCACCACACCTATGCTATTCTCAGTTTAGGTGTAATAGTAACATTCCCTCCAAAACCAGTGTTTTATAGTCCTGCTTCAGGGAGTTAAGTTTAGCTTCCTAAATGCAAAGCGATGTGCTGTAGAGCAGGTACCTACAACCACAATTGACTTTAATCCCAATACCAATTATTACCATGATAGTTGTTGTTGCTAACTTTATTTCTGTCCCAAACTTTCTCCCAAGGCAGGGAAAAATCATCTAGCATAATCGAACCAACACATTGCATGGGTGGGAATGCACTTTTCAGTCGGAAATTGTTGCTTGTGCAATGCTGGGGAAAGGCAGTATCCTAGCAACCTTTGCAACCTGAACTCTCCAACAGAACTACATTGGTCTCATGCAATAAGTAACAATAGTGCAATGACTGGACAAAAAAATAAGGAGACCCTTTCCTGAAGTTTTCAGAAGATTTGTTATCTAGAACAGGATATCTCTGACCATCTGATGTCAGGAACCAGCGATTATTTCCCCCTCAATATCCTGGGGATGGGCACTGTACATGTGCCCACTGGGTACAATTTGTTTCCTGCAAATTTGCCAGTGGCTCAGGAACCAGCACCAGTCCAGACATGACTTTCAGTAGCATTGATCTAGAATACTTCCGTCTGTATCTCTGGATTACACAGACACTTGATGAGATTGTTTCCTTCACAGAAAGCATATGGCACTACAGTACCTCATTAAGTATATTTGGCTGTCTTGTACTGTTCTTTATCATGTACTTTAGTTATGAAAAGCACCTCTCCAGATTCATAATTGCAATCTCAGGCGTAAAAGGTTATTAACAGACAGGAATCTTGGGGTTCCAATTCTCTGCAAACTTTTCCTGGTCGTGCTATGCAGCATCCATTGCATATCTATACTATTTAAAATATGTGTGTGTGTGTGTCTGTGTGTGTCCAGCACGCTGCACAACTGTAAAACCTAATAACCTGAAACTTGGCATGGATGAGAAGGGAAATCCAGGAGTATTAATCTCTGTGTTATGGTGATTACAATTGATATAATAAGTTCAGTTAATTAAAGTCAGTCTGCAGTCTGTGTTGACAGTTGACATCTCTAATCTAGAGACCAAAGACTGAGGCAGGTTGTGAGGCTGGTTTCTTCTTCACAGGGCTCCTAGACTTAATGGTGGTCTGTGGATCAGTGCCATCTGCGACTCCTGGCTGCCGGTCTATAACAAATTTCTGGGAAATAAGAAAACAATACTAGCCAATGAGAGCAAATGGTACTGGTCCCTGGCACAACTTAGGGGATTGCCAATCTAGAAGCACTGCTCTAAGCAGCTTCACATATTTCCTTCCTCTGTACGATCAGAGCTCTTTGAACTATCTGAAAAGGCAGAGGAGGAATAAGAAGGTAAAAGTGAAAACCAGAGGTTGGAGAAAGAAAGAAAAAACCAAAGTATGACAAAATGGGAAGAAACAGCAAAATATTTTTATTAATTTTAGAAGCATATACTTTAATGCAGAAAGCCACTGGCCAATGGTACAAATCACTTGTCCATCCTAGGGTGTTGTTTGAATATTCATAGATGAGCATAAGGCCACAACCTGAGGTACAGAATGAACTGGCATTTCAACTCTTTTATCATTGAGTGACCACCCCCATAACTACTTTAGATGTTACATTGAAAGACAAGTTAATCTTTCCCATATTTTTTTAAAAAACCCAATTGTAATGGAATTAAACCTTTATTAATAGGAAGAAGGCTAAATTATTTAAATACATTCAAAACTGTATTCATTTTAAATAGATACGTCCTACAAAATAAGTTAATATTAATATAATACTATATTCCATTGTAAGACATCATCGATTGTAAGATATGCACTAATTTCAGTACTACCGACAGAAAAAAATTCTCTCTCTACACACACACACAACATATATAAATGCACACAATTCTAAGAAACGCTCCATTTTTAGTTTGTATGGGGGGAAAGCATGTCTTAAAAGCAAATAAATCGTTTATGTTTGACATTTTGTCCCTAAGTATACAAGCTACTGTAAGAAAATTGTGAGTTCATTTACTATTTCTCCAAGGAAAGCATAGCATTTAATGAGAGGGGAGATACACATTCGACCTGTTTTGAAAAAGTTGTACCAGCACTCAATTCAGCCCCAGTATTGTGAAACACTGAACCCGTCTATCTATGTACATACACTTGAAAGCAGACATAATTCTATAGGACTTATTGTGAAGTAAACATGCATAGAATTGCACCACAGATATCTATCTATGGGTAGACAGTACTCCATAGGAGTGGTGATGCAAGCCAATTTTCCTTAAATAGCTTCAAAACCAGACCAACCACCACATACATTTGTTTAGTGTTAAGACCTGTATTAAAGGTCTTTTGGGATAAATATGCCATGACAGGGTCTTATCCACTGTGGCCCCTTGTCTCTGGAACATGAGCCTGTTACCCCTTTGATTCCCCCCCCCCTTGCTATTTATGTAGGATTCAGGTGAGGAGCTCTGATGTCCCTCTACAGCAGTGGTTCTCAACCTGTGGGTCCGCAGGTGTTTTGGCCTACAACTCTCAGAAATCCCAGCTGGTTTACCAGATGCTAGGTTGAGACCCACTGCTCTACATGTTTTGGCCCATTTCCTAAACCAGTCCTGAAAAATGGTATACAGAAGTGTACACATTTTGAAATAAATCACATATATATTGTACAAGACTCATGTTTTTCAGTTCACCAGCAGAAGATGCTATTCACTGCTCCGATAACATAAGAGTTGTTTGAAACTGAAAAAAATGTATGCAAAGTAGGTGCCCTGCCAGGGAGCTACAGTACATTGGAAAGATCTATGTCCCAGAACGAATGGTTTGATACTACTTTTATTGCCATAACTCAGGCCTGGGCAAACTTGGGCCCTCCAGGTGTTATGGACTTCAACTCCCACAATTTCTAACAGCCTCAGGCGATTTCCTTTTTCTCCTCAGCCGCTTAAGTAGAAAGGAAATAAAGGAAGGGACCTGAGGCTGTTAGGAATTGTGGGAGTTGAAGTCTAAAACACCTGGAGGGCCCAAGTTTGCTCATGCCTGCCATAGTTCAATGTTATGGGAGTTGTAGTATGAGTAACAAAAAGAACCAGCGTCCTTTGGCAGAGAAAGGTAGCCTTTGTAAAACTACAACTCCCATGATTCCATAGCATTGAGCCACGGTAGTTAAAGTGTGGTCAAACTGTATTACTTCTACAGTGTAGAAGATGCACTCTGTTGTCGAAGGCTTTAATGGCCGGAATCACTGGGTTGCTGTGAGTTTTCCGGGCTGTATGGCCATGTTCCAGAAGCATTCTCTCCTAACGTTTCGCCCACATCTATGGCAGGCATCCTCTGAGGAGAGAATGCTTCTGGAACATGGGCACACAGCCCGGAAAACTCACAGCAACCCGATGCACTCTGAGTCACAGATAATCCATAATTGTTTAAAATAAAGATAGAAATGTGTATGCGAGTATGGAAGGGATTTCCTCGCCTCCTGTACTTCCCACTCTTTTTGGAGGCGACTTCCAACGAGTTGTATTCTCGGCGAGCAGGAGATTCCGCACAACCCGCTCCGAATAATTCCAGGACTCCAGATCATGTTTTTGTCGCCGCCTAGGCTGCCCGGCTGCCTTTGGCGCGGCGTACTCTACCTTGCTTTCCCCCCGATCTCTGGCTTGTCCCGGCTCCGCTCGTGATTGGCTAGCCGAGAGCAGCTCCAAAGGCGTGCAGCGTTCTCGTTGGCCGAGCCGGCCGCCCGTCTAACGCAGGAGGAGAGGGGGGAGGGACTGCGCGAGCGTAGGTTGCACGGCAGCACTGAGCGGCCTCTGCCTGTGTCTGTCGGTGTCGGGGGCCGCGTGCGAGGGGAGGGGGCGCGCGCACGCGCTCGGGTTTGGAGGAGGGGGGCTGCGTGCGCGCGCGCGCGCTGGCTGGCAGGCTCTCGTGCCCTGTCTCGGCCAAAATGGCGGCGGGGGCGGCAGCAGCGGCGGCGGCGGCGGTAGCCCGGCTGGAGGGCCGCGAGTTCGAATACCTCATGAAGAAGCGCTCGGTGACCATCGGGCGCAACTCCTCGCAGGGCTCAGTGGACGTGAGCATGGGCCACTCCAGCTTCATCTCCCGGCGGCACCTCGAGATCTTCACTGCCCCGCCCGCCCAGGCCCCGGCCGTTGCCAATAACAGCAGCAGCAGCACCAATGCCTCAGCCGCCGCCGCCGCCGCCGGGCCAGGCCCGCAGTCCCAAGCCCCCCACCCCGCCCCCACGGCTTCCTCCGGCGGCGACTTCTACCTGCGCTGCCTGGGCAAGAACGGCGTCTTCGTCGACGGAGTGTTCCAGCGCCGGGGGGCGCCGCCGCTGCAGCTGCCCCGAGTGTGAGTAGGAAGCAAGCAAGTAAGGAAGGAGGGAAGGAAGGAAGGAAGGAGGGCGCGCGGCTGGTCCGCCGTGTGTGTGGTTCTGTGTGTCAGGGAGGGAGGGAGGGAGGGGGGGCGCGAGGGGGGGAGGGAGGAATGCCAGGCCCGCCCCCTTCCCCCCCCCCCCCGGGCCCCTGGCCTCTCCGGGGGCTTCCTGAAGGGAACCTCCTCTCGCGCAGAAGGAGGCGCGGAGGGCAGGCACAGCAGGCCAGGCCTCCCTCCTTTCTCCACGCTCCTTCCTTCCCTCTCACACACCCTGCCCCCCCCCTTCACACACCTACACCTTCCACAACTATGTACGTCCCAGGCAAGTACAGGTCCAGCAGCCCTCCTCCCAAAGGCTTAGCACCCCAAAACTCTCTGGATTTCGGACCTTAGAATATTCGTGTTTACATTTACACACATGATCAGGTGTCTGTTAGATGGAACCTAAGCCTCATCAGGAAATTCATCGATTTTTCCCAAAGGTAGTTTTGTACCCCATATTTGAGCCATATCCACTGGCAGCCGATCTGCTATTCATAGAATCATAGAATCAAAGAGTTGGAAGAGACCTCATGGGCCATCCAGTCCAGCCCCCTGCCAAGAAGCAGGAATGTTGCATTCAAATCACCCCTGACAGATGGCCATCCAGCCTCTGTTTAAAAACCTCCAAAGAAGGAGCCTCCATCACACTCTGGGCAGAGAGTTCCACTGCTGAACGGCTCTCACAGTCAGGAAATTCTTCCTAATGTTCAGGTGGAATCTCCTCTCTTGTAGTTATTCAGCACAATAATAATAATAATACTTTATTTATACCCCGCTACCATCTTCCCAAGGGACTCGGTGCAGTTTACATGAGGCCAAGCCCACAGTACATCAATAAACAAAAACAATCAATACAATACAATTAATATAAATCACATAAACAAAAATAAACAATAAACAGTAACACGCAAGCATTTAAAAACCTATGGCCGGGCCAAATGTAATAGTTTAAAATTTAAAAAATAATGCTGGGCATGAACAAGGTAGGATATAATTGGTATAGGGTTTTCAAAGAGAGATGAGGGAACACAGTCAGTCCTAAATCAGTGGTAAAGTGCATTTTGAGGGCATATTGCTGAGAGTTTTCCTTATTCTGGGGAGGCACACTGGAACAACCACATTTTCAGGCTCCTCCTAAAGACTGCCAGAGTTGGGGCATGTCATGTCCTTGGGAAGTGAGTTCCAGAGTTGGGGGGCCACCACCGAGAAGGCCCTCTCCCTCGTCCCCACCAATCATGCTGCCTTTAGCCTACAAATCAGGCATTGGCATACTTAGGCGCTCCAGTTGTTTTGGACTCTCAACTCCTACAATTCCTTACAGCTGGTAGGCTGTCAGGAATTGCAGAAGTTGAAGTCCACAACACCTGAAGCGCCAGAGTTTGCCCATGCCTGCTATAAATAAACCTTAGAGCATTAAGATTGGCTGAGGAGGTCCTGCTCTTGTTTCTGCCGCCCTCACAGGCATGACTGTTGGGGATGAGAGATGGCCTCCTCAGTGGTGGCCCCTCGCTTGTGGAACTCCCTCTCCAGTGAGATCAGTTCAGCCCCCTCCTTCCTGACCTTCGGGAAACTACTTAAAATGTGTCTTTTAAAACAAGCATTTGGGCTGTGAGATGAAGCAGTCAAGACAGTTTTGAGATTGGTGCAATGTCTTATGTTTGATGCTGGTTATGTTTGATGCTTATAGTTTTCTGGTTTCAATTTTGTTATATGCTATTTTAGTTTCATGTTGAATTTTATGCTTTGTGAGGCATTGAATTTTGCCATTTACTTGCTGTGAACCAATTTCCCCCGCATGGGTTGAGAAAAGCGGTATATAAATGGAATAAATAAATAAACATTTTTAATGTGAAGGAGGGGGCAAGCTTGGTTTCTGCTGCTCTGGAGACTAGGTTGGGTCTACATCGCCGTATTGTGCAGTTCCAGAATGTAGATTAACTGGACTATATGGCAGTGTGGACAGTTCAATCCAGTTAATCAGCTTTCCAAAACCGCATCATGGCAGTGTAGATCCAGCCTAGAACACAAGAGCAATGGATTCAAATTTCAGGAAAAGCAATTAGGGATAACTTCTTTGCCAGTTCAGTGGTGGAATATGATGCTGCCTCTGAGCTTGTCAGAGTCTCTTTCTCTGGAGGGTTTTAAGCAGAGGGTGCTTTGATTCTGTGTTCCTACATGGCAAAGAGGTGGACTGGGTGGCCTTTGAGATTTCTCCATGAGTCTCTTAAGCAAAGTTTGTGTATATAGAACCATCAGAAATCAGCAGTGGCACGCAGGCGGACCATTTCGGGTTTGTAGTAATCTATTTATATATACACCATTTATTTTATACAATATTTGTAATATTTTTGTGCCTGAAACAAAGTTTGTGAGGATAGAACCGTTGGCAAAGGTGACACCCAGGTGGACAATTTGAGGTTTTGAAGTAATCCATGTATGTTTCATATACACCTTGTATTTTATACAATATTTGTAATACTTTTGTGCATAAAGCAAAGTTTGTGTGTATTGAACAAGCAGAAAGTGTTATTCTCTCAGCCACCCATGTGACTAATTTTGGATTTGGGGGGTAATTTGAATTTCGGAATTCTGGATAAGGGATACTCAATTTGTACCTTCTGTTTGGTCAGAAGACTTGTTCAAATATACTAGAGGGGCCTTGATGAATCTTTCAGGCAACATGCACAGGAGAGATTTGTCCATTATATCTCTGCAACTTCATAGTTTGTATTTCCGTGGTGGTGGAAGAGGCATAAGTGTCTTTCATGAAGAATGAGCTTTCCTTATCTGGAATTCCAAAATCTGAAGTGACCCAAAATTGTCCATATGGGTGACTGAGACACCATTGCATTATGATGCTTTCAATATACAGACCTCACTACCTATGAGGATGCTAGCCATAGATGCAGGAGAAACGTCAGGAGAAATGCCTCTAGAACATGGCCCTATAGCCCGAAAAAACCCATAAGAACCTAGTGATTCCAGCCATGAAAGCCTTTGACAATACATAAACTTTGTTTCATGCTCAAAATTATTTTAAAAAACATGGTGCATAAAATTGCCTTCAGGTGTGTAAGGTATATATGAAGCATTTTTGAAGTTTAAGTGTAGAGTTGAGATCAAGACATGTCGTTATGTACATATGTCTAAAGCGTTTCTGATCCCAAGCATTTCAGTTAAGTAAGACTCAGCCTGTTCTTGGAGACCTCCTCTCCATGTTCAGGTATGGCTTGACTTGTGGCTCAGATGTCTTTGGATTTCTGAAGTGTAAAATAGTTTTAGAAATGAGCATCTTAGAATTACCCTATTGGACAGAAAATATGAATGGGCCATTCACAAACAGAAGACTCATTTCCACAGGCAGTTAAAAACAAACAAACAAACCACGTGTTGCTAGGCTTTAAAAAAATGTCAGTACTTTCTAGGCACCTTCACGCCTGTTAACATTGCTTAGCAATGCGTCATGTTTATAATGCTCTATTGTCAGGTTAGTTGAATGTCTTTTTTGACCTCTAACTATTATAACTTCCATTCATGCTTTTGGCAGTGGTGTAATTATTATACAAGGAGGAAGAACAAGTAGTTTGCTTTGTCTCATTGGCTTAATTTTTTGAAACAGAAAGTAATTTTTAAGACTGCAGATCCTCCCCCCCAACAAGTGTGCTTTCTCATGTGCTTCCTTTAGTGGAATGTAAAATATTGAATGACATAAGAGAAAACATCTAATTTTAATACTTGAATGCATACATATATCTATAGCTTACTTCTGCTGATTCTCATCATGAATTTCAGTGTGAATGTGAGAGACGTTTTAGCAGGCGCCTGATTATTTGGAAACTTTTATTTCAGAGGTTTTAAGGGAGTGGTTTGCTTAATTTGGTTTCGTTATGTTGAGGACAGAGTCTTGTGCAAATGCATTGAAACTATAAGAAAAATCAAGTAAAATATGGTATAAAATAGGCTGTCCTGTTACTATACGTTCACTTGTAAAAACATAGCGTTTTCTTTTGCAATATAGGCTTAAAACATTGGCTCCTTCTTCTCCAAATCATACTCTAAACATGTTTCAGTTATATAAGGCTTTCCCAGACATACAAGAAGCAAAAATAATTTTCAAGAGTTTGCTGTTGAATTGACTGAAGAATCTAAGTATCAGCACATTAACTATGGGAATCATAGAATAAGTGTATCAACTACACTGAGATTACTTTTGGAAAATAAATTTTAAAATAATTTATAAATTATAAGACTGTGTGATATGTGATGTAATATAGGTAGCCTTGGTGAAAGATACAATTATCTCATAGTAGAGTACTACATTATAATGAATAAGATATTCAGACACATCATCTTGAATAGACTGATGTGAAATACATTTATTTAGAAGGAATTGTTTGTGATTTTGATGAGACGTCCAAGCAATTTACAACCAACATCTGCTATTGTTAAAGGGGTATGTGTGTAGTTATATTCTTTAAAAAGAATTCAGCAGAATTTGGCTTAGTGTTATTGTCTTATTCTTTTTTGGCTGAAGATAACCAACCAACAATTATCATAACTTCAGGTAAACTTTGTGTCCTATTAGTATCTGAGAATATTGTGTATAAAGCATTTTCATCTTATTTGTTTACTTTTGGAATGAGTGCTTAGATAAGCTTAAGATCTGCTTACCTACGCATATAGAGTGAAATTCCACCCTAGTGAAGTCAGTCAAGAACTTTACCAGGATTTCATCAGTAGTGTGTACTTAGACTTTGAAAATGTCTTAACTGTCAACAGTTTGTCCCCCTTTCATTTGGACAACTAATATCTTTGTTCTGATAGTTATTGTATAAACAATAAAGTTATTGATTATTCAAAATATATTTTTTTCATTTTCAGTAGGAAAGTAGAGTGTATTCTCCAGCCTGTATAGTCTGATCCTTAAAATACAA